GGCGGTGAGCACTTCCTGTCCGTCCAGTTCGTGGGATCACAGGACCTCTGAGGTGGACGGCAACTCCTGGGCAAGCTAGTCCAACCTGTACCTGGGCAGGAATTCCCAGCTCTTAGTATGTCACGTTTAATCTGAGCCTTCCAAGGGTGAGGACCCAGCAGCCGGAGCAGTGTGGCCCATGGGGTAGAGAGCTGAATTCAAATCCAGCCTCAGACACTCACTATCTGTGGGACTTTGGGCAAGTCCCTTAATCTTTCTAATGTAATAGCTCACGAGCCCCTATCAGTGTGCTTCCCTTCACTGATTGTCAGCTGATAATCAATCGGCCAGATAATTAGCTTTTAGAAAGAGGTGTTTGTTAAAGTAATATGGTAAGAAGCATACTATTTTCACTTTTTTTTTAACTTTGTGGTTTTCCCGTTCTGTTCTGTTTCTTCTTTCACAACATGACTAATGTGGAAATATGTTTAACATGATTGCATGTGTATAACCTATATTGCTTGTTGTCTTGGGGAGGGCGAAGGAGAGGAAGGGAGAAAAATTTGGAGCTCAAAATCTTATTAAAAATGAGTGGTGAAAACTAGTTTTACATGTAATTGGAAAAAAATAAAATATATTTAAAAAAATAAATATGGTAAGAACTGTTGGTATGAAATATCCATCCCCCCAAGTCTCTCCCACAAGCACATATGAGCCATTTCCAAGGGGAAAGTGGGCACAAGTTTAGAGAGCACGTACAGCAGAGGTAACCCAGGTCCTAGAAGTACTTTTGCTGGAATTCTCAAGCTTTTCCCCTTAGGCATGGGTTACACAGTCTGGAAGTCCTCTTTGCCTGTGACATCCTGTCTGGTCTTGGGCTCCAGATGGAGACATCTACAATCAATTCTGCTGTTGTGGGGATGCTGCTAGGATCAGAGCAGTGATGAAAAAATGGAAATCATCCGGTCCTCTGAGTGCCTTCATGAGGTCCTTCTCCAAAGAAGGTAGGGGTTGGGAGGAGACTAAGGCTGGGGTCAGGGCCAAGGCCTTTGTTTCCCAGAGAGATTTCTTCTCAGAGGCTTGCCATCTAAGCGGCTAGACTCTGGAATCCTGGATTCCAAATCTGCTCACTGATTTTATAGTCCCACAGAGTGCAACCAATCCCTTCGCCTCTCCAGAAACAGACATTTTCTCTTGTATCTAGTTGCAATCTGGAGACGTACAGGCCTCTGTCACACTAGTTGACCCTTCTGATTGGTTCAGGGGAGATGTATAACCATCTGATTGACTCAGTCCCTCCCCACCATTCCAGGAATTGTAATAAGTGAGATTTACACAGCAGCTTCCGATGGACAAAGTGCTTTGCAGACATGATAGCAGTGAAGCCTCACTGCAGCCCTGTGGGTCCGGGGTTACAGGTATCATTACCCTCATTTTTAAAACAAGGAAGTAAGAGTCTCTACGAGGTTATTGACTTGACCAAGGTCACACTGGTAGGACGTTATCAGGCAGGATTTGAACCCAGGCCTTTCTAGCTCCAAGTCCAAGTCCAAGCTCTAATCAATGCACTGTATTGTCTTAAACGAGTTCACAGCAGAAACCTGAATCACATTGCCAATTAGATTTGTGCAGGCCCTTATACTAGGGATGGGAAAACAAAGACAAACCACAAATGTAAGTCCTCAAGGGGCTTATATTCTACTGGGGAGCGGTGGTACCTGCAGGAACCCCCGCAGATGCCTCAGCGCCACGTGGCCACCCAGGGACCACTGTCCTTGGCCCAGCAGCCCATGCTCTCAGTTTCCTCCATGGGTAGAAGAGTAAAGCTATCAAGGACCTTAGAACGTGGAATGTCGGAGCTGGGAGGGGCCTTAGAACATGGAATGTTAAAGCTGAGAAGGGCTGGAGTCCTTTTTAAAAACAGGGAAACTGAGGCCCAGCCTGCCTGCACGGAGAAGGAATCATTGCAGTGGCCTGGCCCGGTGCGAGAACTGCGGGAGGCAGCCCCCGGCCCCGCCTGCAGATTCTCCCTCGGGGATCTCCGCAAAGGAGCCGGACGGCGGCCGGTCTGGGCGAGAGCTCCTTGCGCCCCGCGGGGCACGGTCGGGTGCCGCGGGGCGTGTCTCGCGCGTGGAGGCGGGGCGTGGGGGAGCCTCGCGTGGGCGGTGCCGTGGTTAGGCGTGGGCGGGGGGGCGGGAAGGCGGGGCCGGAGCGCGGCCTGCTGATTGGCTGGGGCGGGCAGCGGCGCAGCTGGCTCCCCTGTCGGCTGCCGCCCAGCCCCGCGCTCTCTCCGTCTGCCTGGCTGTGCGGCCGCCGCGGCCGCCGCTCCCCGCCGCCGCCGCCGCCCTCCGGGCCCCTGCCCTCCCCGCCGCCGCCATGAGCACCAGCCTTCGCTACAAGAGCAAGCTGGTGAACCCAGGTGAGCCCGGGGCCCCATCCCCGCTCCTCTGCCCTCCGTCCCTGCCTCCGTCCCTGCCTCCGGCCCTGCCTGCGCCCCTGCCTCCGTCCCTGCCTCCGTCCCTGCCTCCATCCCTGCCTCCATCCCTGCCTCCGTCCCTGCCTCCGTCCCTGCCTCCGTCCCTGCCTCCGTCCCTGCCTCCGTCCCTGCCTCCATCCCTCCTTGTGCCCCTCCGTCCCTGCCTCCGTCCCTGCCTCCATCCCTGCCTCCATCCCTCCTTGTGCCCCTCGCTCCCTGCCTTCCTTGGGCGCTCACAGTGTCTCTGTTTCTCTCCATCTCTGCCCCTTGTCGCCGCCTCGGACCCGGACCCGACCCCGGCCTCGGTCCGCAGTGGAGGAGAAGCAGGTACGTGGGCGCCGCCGCCCGTTCGCCAGTCGTCGGTCGCGACGTTCCCCGGGGCAGCCTTCGCCGCGCCCTCCTGACATCAGCCCAGCTGGGGAGGCAGGGAGCGGTCTGGTCCTCGCCGGCCACGGCCCAGCTGTGGGGATGGGTGAGGGGCGATGTCCTGGCCTCGAGCCCTGGCCCCCTGCCCTGCCCTGCCCTGCCCTGACCTAGAGCTCCAGGCCAGATGTGGAAGGGGGCTGCCTCCCCTCCTGGCGGCTTGGGGAAGGGCTGGGAGGCGAGATGCTGTGGTCTCCAGTCCCAGCCCCTCCCCCCAGAGGCCTGGCCTGCCCCCTCTGGCTTCAGCCCAGCTCTGTGTGTGTATTTTATGTATATTGTGTGTGGGGGGAGGGGAAACGGACCTGGTCCTCAGGAGCTTCGGCCCCTCGATATGTGCGAGCGTGAGGCCGTCCCCCTCCCCCAAAAGGGAGCCTATCCTGCCCTTCTCCGAGGTACCACCGAAGGCCTGGGATGCCCGAGGATGCCCAGACTCCCAGGCTCTGCCTCTCCCCGCTCCCCACCCAACCTTCCAACCTCCCTTCGCGGCTGGCTTCTGCCCAGATGTTGGGACTGTCTCTCCCCAACCCCAGCAGGACTCCCCTTCCTCTCCCCAGTTGGGTCACCCGGAATGGGGGGTACTTGGGTTTCGACCCCGGGCTCTTTCTGCCCCCTCCTTCTCGGATTTCTGCCAGGCTGTGTCCTGGAGGGCGGGAGGGTGCGTGTCCAGTGTCAGAGCTCCGATGTGAGTAGATACTGCCTTTTCCTCTCTAGGAGACTCCCAGCCTGGTCTCTTCCCTTCCCACCGCCCATTCCTGGGCTTGTTCCCTTCTCATCCCTCTCTCTCTCTCCAGGACATCAGTGCGTTAGAGTCAGACCAACTCTGGGAGGGCGATGAGAAAGGTAGAGGCCCCGGTTTCCTTGGGGAAAAAGGGGAAGCAGCCCCACCGAGCTGGGGCCCCAGCACCATGGGTGCTGCCATAGTTGGGCCAGACTTCCCCACCAAGGATGAGTGCGGTGGAGAGGGCAAGGGAGAATGTCACTGGTCAGAGGACCTTCTGGGATACACCGAGGCTCATCTTACCCCCCCTCCCCATCCACCCCAAGGGCTTGGCTTGGCCCTCTGTGTGCAGATGGGAGGGAAGGGGCTTGGGACTGGGGACCCTTCTCTTTGTTAACTTGGAAAAGGCAGCATGGAGCAAAGCTGCCTCCGAAGCAGAGGGCCTGGGTTCAAGCCCCAGCTCTCACCTTCCTAGTTGTGTGATCCTGGGCAACTCCCTTCATTTCCTTGGGTCCCAGTTACCCCCCAATTATCCCTTCTGTAAAATGGAGCTAACAATACCTGTCCTCCCTGTCTAGAGGATGAGGAGGAAAGTGCTTTGTTTTTGTCAACCTTAGAATGCTACAGAAATGGTGGTTACGGCAGTCCTAGCAAGCTCTGGGTGTGTATGCATTTGACAGGCGGGGAAACTGAGGTATATGACAGCTAAGGGACTTGCAGAGGTTTGTGCCTTCCGCGGCAGGAGCTGGAACCTCAGCAGGGGGAGGGGGGAGATTGAGCATCTTTGTGGGGCTGTGCCTTTGGCTAGCAGGACGGTGGGGATCTGGGACAGGGGAGCCTTCAGGGTGAGGATGTCTCTGGCCAGGTGGTAACCATGGGGACCTCTGCGAGGTCGGGGATTGGAGAGAGAGAATTGCCCGCTTGAAAGGGCGTCACGTCAGGGAGTCCGGCGAGATCTTCTCTCTCCCGCCCCCCACCCCTCCAGCAGCGGCTTTTGTTCCTTGTTCCTGGCTTGGGCAGAAAGCTAGACAGTTCTGGGGTGCGTTGGGCCCCGGAGGTGCCAAATCAGCAGGACCCAGGAGTCCAGGCTTCTAGGCCGACAGCACCACCGAGGAGGGGAGTGTCTCAGTGGAGCCATTCAACGTCAGGAGCCCAGGGAGGGATGGAGTGAGGGCGTGCCCTTCTCTAGCTGCCAGCCCTGGGCTTCTCTCCGCGTGGGGGTACGCCCCACAGTGCCTCTCCCCTGGTGGATCGTGGGAGCCAGAGCCAGAAGCCCTGGGCTCCAGCGTGAACTTGGAAGGTGCGGGGAAGCCAGGCTGGGGAGGGGCTCCCCGAGGCTGGGACAGGGAGGAGCATGGTGGCAATATCCCCAAACCTGCCCGTGCTAGGAGAGAACAAAGCCCTTTGCTTGGAGACACTAGGAAAAAGGAGGGACCATTGTTTGGGTGAAAGAGAAAGCGCCGGCTGGCGGGGGTGCCAGTTCTCTTAATGGGTTTGTCTGAACCGTTGTCTCTGGTGGGTGGCGGCTTCTCCGGCTCTGCTCCCTCTCCTCTCTTCCCTGACCTTCCCCCTCCTCCACCCCAGCCCTCCTCCCAGGCTGCCAGGGGCGTAAACAGAACCGTTGTGAGAGCCTTCTCCCTCAGGGAGCAGCGGGGCTCTTCCTGCCGACACCCTCTTTATTTGGTTCAAGTCTTTAGACGCAGATGGTCACAGCTGGAAGGGGCCTGAAGAGGTCACCAAGGTCTTGTCTCCCCACACCCTCCCCATGACCGTTCACTTCTCATTCCCATTTGCCCATCACCCGTATCCCCTTAGGTGCTGAGAATAATAGGAGCCTAGGGCTTTAGTCTCCTGTCTGACAGGGCAGCTAGGGGGTATGGTGTGCTGGACCTGGGGTCAGGAAGATCTGAGTTCCAGTGCAGCTTCTGACTTACTAGTTGTGTGACCCTGGGCAAGTCATTAACTGCTATTTGCCTCAGTCTCCTCAGCTGTAAAATAGTACAAGCACCTGAACCTCCTAGGGGCTGTTGTGAGTATTAAGTAAGATAACATTTGTAAAGCACTTAACACTATGCACATAGTAGGCACTTAATAAACGCTTGTTACCTTTCCTGCATCAGTAAGAAAAGTGAGACAGGAATCATTATGTGGCATCAGAGTAAGTGGATTGGGATCCTCTCTGGAGCTACCAATGTGACCCTGGGCAAGTCATTCCCCTTTTCTGAGGTCAGTTTTCTCACCTATAAAATGAGGAGGTTAAACCTTGGCTTTGGTCCCAGCTCTGGATTCCAGGATCCTGTGTTTTTTAAGCCAGGAGAGCCCTATGGCACCATCTGGTTGAACCTCCTCCTTTTACAAGGTCATGCAGGTAGGGATTAATGGAGTGAAGATTTGAACCCAGGGCCAAAATCTAGTAGTATGCTCACAGAGGAGAGCCGTCCATCCTTGGGCTAGATTTTGACATCCGTGGTAGATCTTTGGTTGCCTTGTGATTTGAATGGTCCTCCGCCACACACACCTGGGGTAGACCCTCCTGAGATCTGAGAGATCCAGGAAAACAGTGGCGTTTCATCTCGGTCACCAAATATTTATTTAGCACCATCTGTGTGCCCAGCAGTTTCTCTGGTGTCTTCACTGCCACCTAGAGATGGTAGCCAGGAAAAGCCTTGCCTCGTTTTCCCCAAATGACTTAACCAGGGACAGGGGGAGTGAAGGAGACTGAGAGGTGGTCAGGGATGAAGCCCAGTCTGGGGAGAGACTTAATCCCCTTTATTATTACTCTCGAATAATGACCCCTTCTCTAGCCTTCTCAGGGCTTGGACAGAGAGGCCAGGACACCAGCCTTTAAGCAGGACGGTCTCCCCAGGAGCCCTGGGATGGAGCCATCTGGGGCCCCATTTCCTCTCCCAGTTTCCTCAGCACCTGCAAGGATCCCTCGGGGCCTATCCCCCTCTCTCCAGCTGGTGGGGCTGGCTCTTAGGCATGTCTGGATAATGGAATGAGACAGCCGGAGGTATCCAGGGTAGATATACAGAAATGGGGCTTGTTATGAGACCCTGGGAGAGAGTCTGGTATGGTGGAAAGAGCGTTAACCCTAGAACCCACCCTTGACATGCACTATGTGTGTGCCCTTGAAAAAGTGACTTCCCCTCTCTGGGTCTCAGTTTCCTCATCTGTAAACTGGGGTTTGACCAAATGACCCCTGCAGTCCCTGGAAAATGGTGTGCCTGAGGCCAGCTGCTGCAGGGGTGGCCATGGGGAGAAAGAGGAGGGCCCTGAGGCTGAGTTTGGACAGAGAACCAGGCTGCTTTCCTAAAGGCTGTCTCCCATCCTGCCCAACCTCCAGGCTTTCTGCAGACTTGACAAGTAGGCTCTGAGACAAGTCCTGGGGCAGCAGCTCAGTCACATGAGGCATCCAAATCACAGTCTTAAAGTATGGCTTTGACTGGAGACAGACAGGAGGCAGTGTGGTTCAGTGGAAATGGGTGCCTTTAGAATCTGGAGGCTGCCTTCCAGTCTCAGCTCTGCCCATATGACCATGGACAGGCCAGTTAAAACGAGGGGCTTTGTGAGTCTAGAAGCAATTAAGCACCTACTGTGTGCTTGTTCCTGTGCTAAACCCTGGGGGGGGGGGGGTTCTGCTAGATCACCTCTGAAGGCCCTTCCTCCTCTGCAGCCGGCTGCCTGGACAGCTGTGATCTCCTGGCCCTTAGCAGGCTTTCCACCCCGAGGAGTAATTGGGGTTAAATCCTGATGGTGTGTGATCTGGTTCTCTGCAGCCTCAGCAGGATTTAGTTTTGCCTTCTGTGGAAAAAAAGGCACATTCACAGTCTCGGTGCAGGAGCGGGGAGGAGGGGGACTGGGCTGGGAAGAGGAGGGTGTGGGCCAGGGGAGGGAAAATGACCCGGCAGCTCTGAGTGGGACCTGGGGATGCTGGCGTGAATTTGGAGGAAGCTTGGACCATGTGAAGGTGGGAAGCCAGGCTGGATGGCAAGGCTGGAGGGGGGTGGGTTAGTTCCAATATATCCTGTCTCTATTAACACCAGGTATTCCTTGGTAGGGGGTAGGGGGAGGCTTGAAGACCCTGGCCTCCAGACCATAGCACATAGTAGGTGTTTAGTCAATGCTATTCCCCCTACCCCACTAGGTTCTCCTTGTGGGGAAGGGCTTTGAAGACCCTGGCCTC